GCATATACATCATACATTTATACATACACGCCCCACATAGAGGTGGTGCCCAGAATATACATCATACATTTATACATACCCACCTCACATAGAGGAGGTGCCCAGCATATGCATCATACATTTATACATACACGCCCCACATAGAGGTGGTGCCCAGCATATACATCATACATTTATACATACACACCTCACATAGAGGTGGTGCCCAGCATATACATCATACATTTATACATACACACCTCACATAGAGGTGGTGCCCAGCATATACATCATACATTTATACATACATACCTGACATAGAGGTGGTGCCCAGCATAAACGTCATACATTTATACACACACACCTCACATAGAGGTGGTACCCAGCATATACATCATACATTTATACATACACACCTCACATAGAGGTGGGGCCCAGCATATACATCATACATTTATACATACACACCTCACATAGAGGTGGTGCCCAGCATATACATCATACATTTATACATACCCACCTCACATAGAGGTGATGCCCAGCATATGCATCATACATTTATACATACACACCTCACATAGAGTGGTGCCCAGGATATACATCATACATTTATACATACACACTTCACATAGAGGTAGTGCCCAGCATATACATCATACATTTATACATACATACCTGACATAGAGGTGGTGCCCAGGACATGCATCATACATTTATACATACACACCTCACATAGAGGAGGTGCCCAGGACATGCATCATACATTTATACATACACACCTCACATAGAGGTGATGCCCAGCATATACATCATACATTCATACATACACACCTCACATAGAGGTGGTGCCCTGCATATACATCATACATTTATACATACACGCCCCACATAGAGGTGGTGCCCAGAATATACATCATACATTTATACATACCCACCTCACATAGAGGAGGTGCCCAGCATATGCATCATACATTTATACATACACGCCCCACATAGAGGTGGTGCCCAGCATATACATCATACATTTATACATACACACCTCACATAGAGGTGGTGCCCAGCATATACATCATACATTTATACATACACACCTCACATAGAGGTGGGGCCCAGCATATACATCATACATTTATACATACACACCTCACATAGAGGTAGTACCCAGCATATACATCATACATTTATACATACATACCTGACATAGAGGTGGTGCCCAGCATATACGTCATACATTTATACATACACACCTCACATAGAGGTGATGCCCAGCATATACATCATACATTCATACATACACACCTCACATAGAGGTGGTGCCCTACATATACATCATACATTTATACATACACGCCCCACATAGAGGTGGTGCCCAGAATATACATCATACATTTATACATACCCACCTCACATAGAGGAGGTGCCCAGCATATGCATCATACATTTATACATACACGCCCCACATAGAGGTGGTGCCCAGCATATACATCATACATTTATACATACACACCTCACATAGAGGTGGTGCCCAGCATATACATCATACATTTATACATACACACCTCACATAGAGGTGGTGCCCAGCATATACATCATACATTTATACATACATACCTGACATAGAGGTGGTGCCCAGCATATACGTCATACATTTATACACACACACCTCACATAGAGGTGGTACCCAGCATATACATCATACATTTATACATACACACCTCACATAGAGGTGGGGCCCAGCATATACATCATACATTTATACATACACACCTCACATAGAGGTGGTGCCCAGCATATACATCATACATTTATACATACCCACCTCACATAGAGGTGATGCCCAGCATATGCATCATACATTTATACATACACACCTCACATAGAGTGGTGCCCAGGATATACATCATACATTTATACATACACACTTCACATAGAGGTAGTGCCCAGCATATACATCATACATTTATACATACATACCTGACATAGAGGTGGTGCCCAGGACATGCATCATACATTTATACATACACACCTCACATAGAGGAGGTGCCCAGGACATGCATCATACATTTATACATACACACCTCACATAGAGGTGGGGCCCAGCATATACGTCATACATTTATACACACACACCTCACATAGAGGTGGTGCCCAGCATATACATCATACATTTATACACACACACCTCACATAGAGGTGGTGCCCAGCATATACATCATACATTTATACATACACACCTCACATAGAGGTGGTGCCCAGGATATGCATCTTACATTTATACATACACGCCCCACATAGAGGTGGTGCCCAGCATATACATCATACATTTATACATACACACCTGATATAGAGGTAGTACCCAGCATATACATCATACATTTATACATACACGCCCCACATAGAGGTGGTGCCCAGCATATACATCATACATTTATACATACACACCAGACATAGAGGTGGTGCCCTGCATATACATCATACATTTATACACACACACCTCACATAGAGGTGGTGCCCAGCATATACATCATACATTGATACATATCTATCTCATAAGGTGGTACCCAGAGAACTGCACAAATTCCTTCTGTGAATGACACTTAATTTTGGACCGAAGATCTGTTCCTGGTTCTTTATTATCATGTCTTTGTGCTGTTATCATTATCAGGTCTTAAGGTCGTATTTGCGTATGCTTAGTGAATTGGTAGTATCTTATTGTCACAACATTTGCAAATGAAGAGTTGACGAGAACACTTTGATAAATCTTTCAGTTCCCATATCAATACGTCTGGATTTTCTCTCTCCAAATATCCACACATTCATGGCAGTAGTATGAAGAATCACTCAAAGATAACATCTTTACCTGATTGCAAATTAAAGAGCTATCAAGCAATTACTTATGATATTTTCAAAACATTCAAGGCGGACTTAAGAAATACTATCAACATGCATGTAACGGTGATACAAATACCCTTGGTATATAGAACAGTTAAGTTTAATGAAATTCATTCAGAACATGTATTCCAAGTTTCTCACATATGTGTCATATCTTCAGTGTCGCTGTTATCTTTGATGATCCGGGGCAGAATAGGTCTTCAGCAACCCATGCTTGCTGTAAAAGGCGACCATGCTTGTCGTAAAAGGCGACTAACGGGATCGGGTGGTCAGGCTTGCTGACTTGGTTGATGCATATCATCGATCCCAATTGCGTGGATCGATTCTCAGTGATATTAATCACTGGATTGTCTGGTCCAGATTCGATTATTTACAGACCGCCGCCATATAGCTGGAGTATTGCAGAGTGCAGCGTTAAACAACAAACAAACAAACAGTGTCACTGTACAGTATGTTTGGCCACTCACTTCCTTACGTCTGTTTTTATCTAGATTCAAATGATGATGTCCTCACATTCGTGATAGTATGGACTTTATGCTGAATGATACTGGTTGGCGATTTTCATGATCAAGAGAATAAACGATATACATCAGTGGTATAAATGTTTATTTCAACAATGTCATGAGTCGCCTGACATATTGTTTCTCCATCATTAATCCTCTATCGGAGGCATAATGTATACATTATACTACTGGATGAAGGTATGTTACATACAATACACTGAAACCTTATGACACCTTGTATACATTATACTACTGGAAAGTGGTATGTTACATACAATACACTGAAACCTCATGACACAATGTATACATTATACTCCTGGATAAAGGCATGTTACATACAATACACTGAAAACTCATGACACAATGTATACATTATACTACTGGATGAAGGTATGTTACATACAATACTCTGAAACCTTATGACATAATGTATACATTATACTACTGGATAGTGGAATGTCACATACAATACTCTGAAACCTTATGACACAATGTATACATTATACTCCTGGATAAAGGTATGTTACATACAATACACTGAAACCTCATGACACAATGTATACATTATACTACTGGATAGTGGTATGTTACATACAATACACTGAAACCTTATGACACCTTGTATACATTATACTACTGGAAAGTGGTATGTTACATACAATACACTGAAACCTCACGACACAATGTATACATTATACTACTGGATAAAGGTATGTTACATACAATACACTGAAACCTTATGATACCTTGTATACATTACACTACTGGAAAGTGGTATGTTACAGCCATGAACCTGAAGCCTTATGATACCTTGTATGACATATTGTTTCTCCATCATTAATCCTCTATCGGAGGAGAATAATGTATTTTTATGTTCATGTCTTTCGAAAGAAGAGATCCTTGGTCAACATGGACGTGATGCACGGAATTTGTTTCTTTTTGTGTGCTCTGCCCTGTGAGGGAAAATCGAAGGCCACCGTGTGATTGACTCGGGTCATCATGGTCAACAGGTCAAGTTTCTCCCTGTGCTCTTCGAGAACCTTGCATAACGTCTGGATGAACCAGGAGCCTTTCCCTTCGTGACGCCATGCACGATATCCTGTGAAGAAAAAGATACGAATATTCTACATATATAGAATCTGAATCTAAGTTATATATAAACAGATTAAGATCTGTAACACTGGATATTGGCATGTTACGGACTTGAACGTGAAACCTTATGACACCTTGATAAGATTATACTACTGGATAGTGGTATGTTAAAGACAAGACCACTATCCAGTAGTATAATGTATACATTGTGTCATGACGCTTCAAGGTCATGCCTGTAGCACACCACTTTCCAGTAGTATAAACTATAAAAGGTGTCATAAGGTTTCAGTGTATTGTATGTAACATACCACTATCCAGTATTATAATGTATACATTGTGTCATGAGGCTTCATAGTATTGTATGTAACATACCACTATCCAGTATTATAATGTATACAAGGTGTCATAAGGTTTCAGAGTATTGTATGTAACATACCATTATCTAGTAGTAAAATGTATACATTGTGTCATATAAGGAAGGCTTCAGGGTGATGCCTGTAACATACCACTTACATTATACTTCTGGATAGTGTGATGTTACATACAATACTCTGAAACCTTATGACACAATGGATACATTATACTACTGGATAGTGGTATGTTACATTCAATACTCTGAAACTTTATGACACCTTGTATACATTATACTACTGGATAGTGGTATGTTACATACAATACACTGAAACCTCATGACACAATGTATACATTATACTACTGGATAAAGGTATGTTACATACAATACACTGAAACCTTATGATACCTTGTATACATTACACTACTGGAAAGTGGTATGTTACAGCCATGAACCTGAAGCCTTATGATACCTTGTATGACATATTGTTTCTCCATCATTAATCCTCTATCGGAGGAGAATAATGTATTTTTATGTTCATGTCTTTCGAAAGAAGAGATCCTTGGTCAACATGGACGTGATGCACGGAATTTGTTTCTTTTTGTGTGCTCTGCCCTGTGAGGGAAAATCGAAGGCCACCGTGTGATTGACTCGGGTCATCATGGTCAACAGGTCAAGTTTCTCCCTGTGCTCTTCGAGAACCTTGCATAACGTCTGGATGAACCAGGAGCCTTTCCCTTCGTGACGCCATGCACGATATCCTGTGAAGAAAAAGATACGAATATTCTACATATATAGAATCTGAATCTAAGTTATATATAAACAGATTAAGATCTGTAACACTGGATATTGGCATGTTACGGACTTGAACGTGAAACCTTATGACACCTTGATAAGATTATACTACTGGATAGTGGTATGTTAAAGACAAGACCACTATCCAGTAGTATAATGTATACATTGTGTCATGACGCTTCAAGGTCATGCCTGTAGCACACCACTTTCCAGTAGTATAAACTATAAAAGGTGTCATAAGGTTTCAGTGTAGTGTATGTAACATACCACTATCCAGTATTATAATGTATACAAGGTGTCATAAGGTTTCAGAGTATTGTATGTAACATACCATTAACTAGTAGTAAAATGTATACATTGTGTCATATAAGGAAGGCTTCAGGGTGATGCCTGTAACATACCACTTACATTATACTTCTGGATAGTGTGATGTTACATACAATACTCTGAAACCTTATGACACAATGGATACATTATACTACTGGATAGTGGTATGTTACATTCAATACTCTGAAACTTTATGACACCTTGTATACATTATACTACTGGATAGTGGTATGTTACATACAATACACTGAAACCTTATGACACAATGGATACATTATGCTTCTGGATAGTGGTATGTTACATACAATTCTCTGAAACCTTATGACACAATGTATACATTAAACTTCTGGATAGTGGTATGTTACATACCATTCTCTGAAACTTTATGACACCTTGTATACATTATACCACTGGATAGTGGTATGTTACATACAATACTCTGAAACCTTATGACACAATGGATACATTATGCTTCTTGATAGTGGTATGTTACATACAATTCTCTGAAACCTTATGACACAATGTATACATTATACTACTAGATAGTGGTATGTTACATACAATACACTGAAATCTTATGACACAATGTATACATTATACTACTGGATAGAGGTATGTTACATTCAATACTCTGAAACTTTATGACACCTTGTATACATTATACTACTGGATAGTGGTATGTTACATACAATACTCTGAAACCTTATGACACAATGTATACATCATTCTTCTGGATAGTGGTATGTTACAGGCATGACCCGAAGCCTTGTGACACCTTGTATACATGAAAGTACTTGACATCAGTAGGCTATAGTCATGATACCAAATTCAAAGATAACAAATAAAAGATCTTTTAAGCAATATTTTTATGATATTTCAACATTCAAGGTGGACATGAAAATCCCTTTTTATATAAAACAGTTAAGTTTAATGGGAAAAGTAGATACGAAATTCGTCCTGGACAGAACATGGATTCCAAGTTTTCTAACATATGTATCCTATCTCTTCTGTGTAGTGTCGTTGTACAGGATGTTTGTCAACTCACCTCTGACACTGGAGTAGGCGATGAGGAAATCAGCCTCTCTTGGTATCCTGTAGGTGACTAGTTCATCCTCAACGCCCATGTCTTCATCCTCCCCTCCAGGACCATCCCCTTTTACACCAAGGGCATCTGCGCCATCATCATACTGTGTCCCGCGACATGCCTGAATACAACATCATCATCACCATCATTCAATCCAAATCTGTTTATGTTTATTTTATTTTCATATTTGCATCTATTTTGTATATGGTGTGTGCGTGTGTATGGGCGTGTGTGCATGGGCGTGTGTGTTTGTGTGGTGCGGTGCGGTGCGGTGCGGTCTTGCCGGGCAAAAAAAATATGTTTTATTGTGGCTAAGAATAAAACAAACAAGAAATGGTTATTCGATGGTGACTTATTTGATATGGGTATCATAGTTGTGTTTTGGATTTTACGTTTGCTGTGTTTCGCTGAGTGTTTTCAAACTAGTAACGTTTTGATAACGTTTGTAATTTGTTGGTCGAATACAATTTTCAAGTGTAAAGATTTATTTCTTTTGCCCGGCAGTGTACTGTCAGGAAAGTACTCGATAATTGTATTTACGCTTGAACAGCTACAGTAAAGTACGGTTAAAACGAACTCAAAGGGACTACTAATTTTAGTTCGTTTTAACCGTAATTCGTTATAAGCATATATTCAGCATAACTACAGCAAAAAGTCGGGACCAAACAAGTTGTTCGTTATATCCGTCAGTTCGTTATAAGCGTGTTCGTTATAACCGCAGTTTACCGTACTTGTGTGTATGCTTGAAATATAAAGGGCCCTCAACATTTAACAAATGTTATACTTGGGATAACACTTTCTTAGTAAAGTACAGATTCTCGTACTTTTTGGGGTTGAGTCCCGTCCAGTTGTCGGACTTTCATTTTGTGGAAGCCTCGGTGGCTGAGTGGGCTGACTTTGAGTGCTGGCGATTAGGTCCCTCACTCTGGCAAGTGGGGGTTCGAATCCCGGACGGGAATCTGTACTTTACTAAGAAAGTGTTATCCCAAGTATAACATTTGTTACATTTGACCACTTTCTAAATGGCATTGCGTATTCATAGCCCTCAACATTTGCCACTTATTAAGCAATATGCAATTATATACTTACCGGAACTGCACGTTTTTAGTCCCCTCTTTATTTAGCCCATGGGCTTAAAAACGGAAACATAAAACGCTTTTAAGCCTACTGAAACATTGATTGATCTCCAATACCGGGTGATCTTCAAGATGTGTTGTCGCCTGCTTCTATATATGGCCACTTTGCACCAATTTTGCACCAATATTACATTTACAGGACACCATTGGCCCCTTGGTGCAAGTGATATTCAGAAAACTCATTGTCACATTTTGTATAACGCATTTAGCAAACACGAATAACTGTGATATTGGTTTGCTGTTACTTTTTCGACAGGAGTCATTCAATTATGAACGTGTTGTTTACTCATAATGTTTTAGCTAAAAAAGGAAATCCTGTCTTATGTTAAAGTGTTGCTCTCATTCTAATTGTGAGTGTTGTTTCACTACACGTGGGATATTCATTCTTCCTATCATGGTTTTGTTCCCTTTCGTTTTGAAGCCCTGGGCTTAAACTTGGATAAAATGCTACTCAACTTAAAAACGTGAAGTCCGAGTAACCATGACAAAAGTTAAAAAATGCAGGCGTACGAGTAAGAAAGAAAACAGGCGAGCTGTTATACAGTTAGAAAAAATTGATTATCTTCATACCAATATGTACACAAAGTTCTCCACACATTTAAGTTTGGGAAAAACAGTGTGCCCTTTTCCCACGGGTAGCCTAGTGGTTAAAGCATTCGCTCGTCACGCCGAAGACCCGGGCTTGATTCCCGACATGGGTACAATGTGTGAAGCCCATTTCTGGTGTCCGCCGCCGTGATATTGCTGGAATATTGCTAAAAGCGGCGTTAAACCATACTCACTCACTTATTTTGTGGATTGGGGCCCTGGATACACCACACAACATGGGCATGATACGTACTTGAATGAAGAATAGTTTGGGTTTTCCGGCCAGAGCTGAGCAGCGATCTCCTCTGAATGGAGCCAAGAGTTTGGTGACCTCCACTGGACCATCTGTACCATGGACCTTGTCCTCCTCCCCGTGCGACAGAATCACGCAGACAAAACAGTCGCTGTCCTTGTGAATATCTCTGGAAACTGGAATAAAAATATCTTTCAGATCTCGACACAAAGACCTGTAACATAACATACTTCCATACGCTGTCTTACAAAGGCTGCTAAAGTATGGAATGTTTGCCATAACATTACAATAATATTCCCGAGCTTTGTTTTTTGTTTGAAACAGAATATTTATTCAGTCAGTGCTTCAAAACGGGTTTTTTCTGTGGAAGGGGAAGCAAAACAATTATTTTTGTCTCGAAAAATATTATCTTACAGAACACCCAACAGGTACAGTGAACATGTTAATTCGCTGTGTAAAACCTGAGGATAATCAATTTTTTCGTGCTTTTTTGGTAACAGATTTACCTTTTTCTAATAGTTTCACCATCTGTTCTCGTGTCTGATTTCGGACTGACTTCACATCGAATGACAAGGCTGTAAACGTCTTAATTAATTTCTGTTCGTCAACGTCGCTGCCCTTTCTTTCATTTCCATCAAAGATGACGTTGTTGATGATATAGGCAATACTTTTCTGTTTGTATTTCATTGGGTAAGTGTGACTTGAAGCCATGGTCTTTGTTGAGTACGTTCGGCTAAAAAAATCAAAACACGGTCACAACAATAAAACCATTTAAAGCATGTGAACCATCGCAATTATAAGAATACTCAATTTGATAGCAACAGTATTTGTTCGCGTTTGTCATATATCGGACATTTTCGTTAAGGTGTTGTAGTACATATAACACGTCAACGCCAGAGAAAAACCAGTCTCGATTATCCGACGAAACAGATTCCATTGGGTGTTAGAGGGAAAATAACGGTGAAATTTACATGCATGGATCACTGAAAATCAGTGATGACACGAGGTGTTCGCGAAAAGGGTGCACGGGTATGTACCGGACAATATAATCACGGCGACTTGGTTTCGAACCAATGATGATACGTTTCTGGTCGGCCTAAAGGGGACGCAACTCTGCTCAGCCTTGGACACGCTTGAGGACTTGGTCACGTGACCTCGATTTATATGAGTGACGTAACTACACAGACACGAGCATCGAAATGTTGGCTGTCTCGGTGGTTGTTACTATTTTCAGACACAGCTGGGGCACGGGTGGCACAGTCGTCTAAGGCGCCGCGATTCGCTGTGCAGAGTTGCGTCCCTTGGGCACGCCAGAAACCTATGATTGTGGGTTCGAATCCCGGTTCGCCCCGATTATGTTTCTAGGTTTGTCAGCACCATACCCGTGCTCGTGGGTTTCACCGAAGTGGTAAACGTCTGAGACCTGCATCTCTTCGGGCTTTCCTCCCACATTAAGCTGACACGCCGAGATATAACTGGAATACTGTTAAAAGCGGCGTTAAAAACCCAACTCACTCACACACTCACTCAGACACAGCTGTCTTGGCAGTAAACCCGCCGCTTTTACATTTGCAAAGGCAAGGTTTAGCAGTATTAAAGGACATATGGTTTGGGGACAAGGGCGAATAAACACTTCCTCAATATTATGTCATTTGCATTTAAAAGGAAGATTATGAAAGCTTGTGCAAATTCAGCATTGGAGCATGAAGGCGGGTATCTTCTGTTACCGACCAGAATATATATGTCGGATAGCAGTTTGGTTTGGTTTGTTGTATAACGCTGCACTCAGCAATATTCCAGCTTTATGACGGCGGTCTGTAAATAATCGAGTCTGAATCGGACAATCCAGTAAATGATATCATGAGCATCGATCCACGCAAATATATCCACCAAGTCAGCGAACCTGACCACCCGATCCCGTTAGTCGCCTCTTACGACAAGTATGGGTTGCTGAAGACCTATTCTACCTCGGATCTTCACGGGTCTGTCGGATCGTAAAAGCGGATCACTACTTATTCACAACATAGAGGCACCTAGTCACAGGGCGACCCAGGATTATGAAAATAAAAGAAGTGGGGGATGTAATGTATCTGAGAATGAGGGTGCGGTGCGCACCCACTGCAGCCTCTGGATCCGCCGGTGCTAGTGCAGTGTTTACAAGCTCGCATACTTGTCAACTCACACGCATCTCGCCTGAGTCTCACGCAGTTATCACCTATGTCACGCTCACACGCAAGGTCGAGAAATTCTCGAGCATTCATATAAAATGTAGATACAAATTTTATTGAAACGCCTTCCCCTTTCGATTTATCGCGATTGCAACCATCACGGCGAGAAAGATCATTCAAAACAACCAGCCCCCCCTCCCCCCCCTCCCCCCCAACACACACACACACACACACACACACACACACACACACACACACACACACACACACACAGACAGGGCTTAGCCCTGGACCCAGCGGGGCTTGCAGCCCCTGCACCCTGGCTTCTCGCTGTATTTTGCTGAGCAAACTAGTGATATGACATTACGCGAACGTCCCGCGTATTTATCCACTACACACTATCGCAAGTAGTCGCCCAGATAATAGTATCTGGGTTATGCAATGTGTTGCGTCTTTCCGTGTATTGTCACGAACCGATTCATGACTGATTTTAGTGCTTTCAATATACCGTTGAAATAACAATCCTTTCTTACCTTACACTAACATATCGTCCCTGAAATAAAGTTATACATAATTAAGTTATACAAATTAAATATTTTGTTAAGGAAACCCTCGGCTATTCAGGAACCATCAGGTCTTATTTCAGAACTGAGAATGGAATGAGGATATGTATATGTTCTGGGGTCTATAAGAGATATTCTAACCTGATCAACAGACGGATCCCTTCTGCGGACTTACACGGTTCATCTGCAGAAAGCGCCTCAACTTGACGTGGATCTATAAATAGATGGATTCCCGAGCAAAGGCGCGCATGCTCGGTGCTCGCAATGGTGTAACGAGTAGCGCCATTCAGACACACTACTATTGAAACCACTTGACAAGGAAGACACAACTACGTATGTTATCTGGACAGTTTATCTGGGACGAAATATTAAGGAAGAGGAAAATGTATTGGTATCACATGAGGGTTGAATGCTGGGAATATATGTAGGTGCATCACGCGATGGTTGAATGCTGGGAATATATGTAGGTATCACATGAGGGTTGAATGCTGGAAATATATGTAGGTGTATCACGCGAGGGTTGAATGCTGGGAATATATGTAGGTGCATCACGCGATGGTTGAATGCTGGGAATATATGTAGGTATCACATGAGGGTTGAATGCTGTGAATATATGCAGGTAAATCACGCGAGGGTGGAATGCTGGGAATATATGTAGGTATCCATGAGGGATGAATGCTGGGAATATATGTAGGTTCATCACGCGAGGGTTGAATGCTGTGAATATATGTAGGTGGATCACGCGATGATTGAATGCCGGGAATATATGTAGGTGTATCACGCGAGGGTTGAATGCTGGGAATGTATGTAGGTGAATCACGCGAGGGTTGAATGCTGGGAATATATGTAGGTGCATCACGCAAGGGTTGAATGCTGGGAATATATGTAGGTATCACATGATGGTTGAATGCTGGGAATATGTGTAGGTATCACATGAGGGTTGAATGCTGGAAATATATGTAGGTGTATCACGCGAGGGTTGAATGCTGGGAATATATGTAGGTATCACATGAGGGTTGAATGCTGGGAATATATGTAGGTGCATCACGCGAGGGTTGAATGCTGGGAATATATGTAGGTATCACATGATGGTTGAATGCTGGGAATATGTGTAGGTATCACATGAGGGTTGAATGCTGGAAATATATGTAGGTGTATCACGCGAGGGTTGAATGCTGGGAATATATGTAGGTATCACATGAGGGTTGAATGCTGGGAATATATGTAGATGCATCACGCGAGGGTTGAATGCTGGGAATATATGTAGGTATCACATGATGGTTGAATGCTGGGAATATATGTAGGTATCACATGAGGGTTGAATGCTGGAAATATATGTAGGTGTATCACGCGAGGGTTGAATGCTGGGAATATATGTAGGTATCACATGAGGGTTGAATGCTGGGAATATATGTAGGTGCATCACGCGATGGTTGAATGCTGGGAATATATGTAGGTATCACATGAGGGTTGAATGCTGGAAATATATGTAGGTGTATCACGCGAGGGTTGAATGCTGGGAATATATGTAGGTATCACATGAGGGTTGAATGCTGTGAATATATGCAGGTAAATCACGCGAGGGTGGAATGCTGGGAATATATGTAGGTATCCATGAGGGATGAATGCTGGGAATATATGTAGGTTCATCACGCGAGGGTTGAATGCTGTGAATATATGTAGGTGTATCACGCGAGGGTTGAATGCTGGGAATATATGTAGGTTTCACGCGAGGGTTGAATGCTGGGGATATATGTAGGTGCATCACGCGATGGTTAAATGCTTGGAATATGTGTAGGTGGATCACGCGATGATTGAATGCCGGGAATATATGTAGGTGTATCACGCGAGGGTTGAATGCTGGGAATGTATGTAGGTGAATCACGCGAGGGTTGAATGCTGGGAATATATGTAGGTTTCACGCGAGGGTTGAATGCTGGGGATATATGTAGGTGCATCACGCGATGGTTAAATGCTTGGAATATGTGTAGGTGTGTCACGCGAGGATTGAATGCTGGGAATATATGTAAATATCACGCCAGGGTTGAATTCTTGGAATATATGTAGGTTTATCACGTGAGGGTTGAATGCTGGGAATAAATGTAGGTGTATCACGCAAGGGTTGAATGCTATATGTAGGTGTATCACGCAAGGGTTGAATACTGGGAATAAATGTAAGTGTATTACACGAGGATTGAATGCTGGGAATATATGTAGGTATATCATGCGAGGGTTGAATGCTGGGAATATATGTGGATGTATCACGCGAGGGATTGAATGCTGGGAATATACATGTATGTAGATGTATCACACGAGGACTGAATGTTGGCAATATATGCATGTGTATCACACGAGGACTGAATGTTGGCAATATATGCATGTGTATCACACAAGGACTGAATGTTGGCAATATATGAATATGTCTCACACTAGGACTGAATGTTGGCAATACATGCATGTGTATCACACAAGGACTGAATGTCGGCAATATATCGATGTGTATCACTAAAGGACTGTATGTTGGCAATACATGCATGTGTATCACACAAGGACTGAATGTTGGCAATATATGCATGTGTATCACACAAGGACTGAATGTTGGCAATATATGAATATGTCTCACACAAGGACTGAATGTTGGCAATACATGCATGTGTATCACACAAGGACTGAATGTTGGCAATATATCGATGTGTATCACTAAAGGACTGTATGTTGGCAATACATGCATGTGTATCACACAAGGACTGAATGTTGGCAATATATGCATGTGCATCACACAAGGACTGATCATGAATGTTGGCAATATATGCATGTGTATCACACGAGGAGTGAGTGAGTGAGTATGATTTTACGCCGCTTTTAGCAATATTCCAGCAATATCACGGCGGGGGACACCAGAAATGGGCTTCACACATTGTACCGATGTCGGGAATCGAATCCGGGTCTTCGGCGTGACGAGCGAACGCTTTAACCACTAGGCTACCCGACCGCCCCTATCACACGAGGACTGAGTGTTGGTAATATAAGCATGTGTATCACACGAGGACTGAATGTTGGCAATATATGAATGTGCATCACACGAGGACTTCATGTTGGCAGTATATGCATGTGTATCACACGAGAACTGCATATTGGCAATTTATGCATGTGTATCACACGAGGACTGCATGTTGTCAATATATGCATGTGTATCTCGCAAGGACTGAATGTTGGCAATATATGCACGTGCATCACACGAGGACTAAATGTTGGCAATATATGCATGTGTATCACACAAGGACTGATTGTCTGAATATATGCATGTGTATCACACAAGGACTAAATATTGGCAATATATACATGTGTATCACACAAGGACTGAATGTTGGCAATATATGCATATAATTAAATTTTCGTTGTGTTCATTGAAATTCCTGTATTCTAATTAGCTGAATTGGTCACGTGTTATTGCATTCATTTCCCAATGAATGTAAAAAAATTAAGCCACGCCCACCGAGGCGCACTACTTTTATTACTTCGGAATGTCGGGGAATCCCAATATTACAGCCGAGGGAATTCCCTTTCTGCTCTCGTGTATCGCCAGGCACAGGACATTTAGCGACTTTCATGCATATTCATTGTCCAAACAAACCTTTGAGAATGAATGAAACAGCAAACGTTCAGGCTCGCTCGCCTGTTTTTTTTCTGCTCGCCTTGGTTCAACTTTCATGTCTTCGGGTTTCCTTTCTAACTAGCATTTTTCCAACTGTGTTTTACCGTAATCAGGGAAGTAATGTTTGAATCTGGCGGTAACTGACCATGTAATTTGAAACAGCCGCCTTCTCCCGGACATATTTCTTCCAGTTCGTTACAATCTGTCTGTTGCAGTTCTTTTCGCCTCTTGTCTTAAGTGATATATCTAATGAACATTGTTTTGCTCCTGCTCTCTGTTGATTGGCTACTGACAGTGTAGGCGTGTCAATTTATGTACATAAATTAAACAATCACCTGATTCATGTCACGCCACAGTATGTATTCCTACACCTGGAATCAATCTCGTCATTTTTGTCTGTTTTGATATATACCACTGTTTTTGGTTAAACTATTGTAGATAAAACATGTTTTATGCTGTCGAATTTAATTATAAGCATTGACTGTGTATTTTTTTCGGTTCATTGAGGTATGAATCGAAAAACCAATGTGCAAACTTTTGTAAGAATCCGCTACGCGGATTCATTCAGTTTGCACATTGGTTTTTCGATTCATACCTCAATGAACCGAAAAAAATACAGAGTCAATCATTAATTGTATCACACAAAGACTGAATGTTGGCAATATATGCATGTGTATCACACAAGAAATGATTGTTGGCAAAATATGCATGTGTATAACACGAGGACTGAATGTTGGCAATCAACAAAGTGACTACCCGATCCATTTAGTCGCTTTACAAGTATGGTTGCCAGAGACCCGTCATAACCCGGATTCGCCACAGGGCCACACGTGGTAGAAGTACAATGGCTAGGGTATCTTATACCGTTTTTGTTACAATTTGTAGCCCAAATTTAATAATACAGTGAATACGAATAACACATTTCGAATGTAACAACTGAGTGAGTGAATGTTTTTTAACGCCGCTCTCAGCAATATCCCATCTATATAACAGCGGCCTTTAAACGATCGAGTCTGGACCAGACAATCAAGTGAATAATATTATGAGCAACGATCAAACGAGTGACATAGGTATGGATCCTGATTCCCTGAGCAATATGACTATGTTCTGATAAACAAAGGCAGTTTGTGTTCACGATATTTTCCAAGGTCCATGTTTATCTACGCATCCTAAGAGAGAGTACAGTAAACTACGGTTATAACGAACTCAAAGGGACTACTAATTTTAGTTCATTATAACCGTAGTTCGTTATAAACATATATACAACAAAACTACAGCAAATAGTCGGGACCAAAAAATAAGTTCGTTATATCCGTCAGTTCGTTATAAGCGTGTTCGTTATAACCGTAGTTTACTGTATTTCAATCAACACCCGATATCATCAAACAATATTTGCCACAGCCGTGTTATCAATGCCATAATAAGCAATAACCAAATCGTGTCCATCTACACATGTACAACTTCTTAAACGTGACATTTACTTATCACGTTATTAAAATATACACGGGTGATGTATTTCTTACAAGCAAACACACCCGTGAAGATCCGGGGTAGGATAGGTCTTCAGCAACCCCTGCTTGCTGTGAACGGCGACTACGCTTGTCGTAAGAGGTGACTAACAGGATCGGGTGGTCAGGCTCGCTGACCTGGTTGATGCATGTCATCGTATCCCAATTGCGTGGATAGATGCTGATGATATCAATCACTGGACTGTCTGGTCCGGACTCGATTATTAACAGTCCGTGGTCATATAGCTGCGACTGGGTCACCCGTGCCCCCCAAAATAGATGTAGAAGGTAGGCGTAGAAGGTTAATAAATTGACAGAACCATTTCCATAGTCATAAAAAATATCTACTGAAAGAAAAGGCGGTTGTACGTTCCGACTATATCATGAGCATGTGTTTAAGAACCGCTAAATAGTCATCATACCAGTTGTTCGCGAAAAGGTGAGCGTACTCTGACCCACCGGCGTCACCCGTGACAAACACATGCAAAGGAAAGTCAATTGTTCACTTGAAAATATATGGGAACATATGGTAGAAGTCAAAATAGGAAATGGCATCAAACCCGGGTCTTCGGCGCGACGAGCGAACGCTTTAACCACTAGGCTATACCACCGCGCCCTGAAGAACGAACTGACAGTACTACAGAATAACTTCCTTGTACCCCATACCTTCGTTTAATGCCATCAGCATGCCTCGTTTGGTTGTGTTCCGGAATTCCTTCACAACAAAGGACAGGGATTCTAATTCTTTCTTTAGCCTTTTCTGATCGTTATCTTTTCCAGTGTGACCGAGATCGTCGAGGCCCAATAGTTTTCCATCGATTTCTATTTTTTCAAATGTTTTTATTGAAAATGTAAACAAGGCCTCTCTCATGTTGTATTCGGCCATGTTTGTACTGGTATGAACGCAGTCTCCAACTGAAAATGGACACTAATCAGGGAGTCGGTGGATGAAGTGAGGGAAAGAACACGAAGATAATTACACACTGTTTGCCAAGATAGTGCCAATATAATTTGAGTAATCTACGATACAACCACAACTTGAATTAACATGCCTCATTATATCAAAAACATATGGTCATGATTTCACCCACTTGAGATGAGGAGAAAGGTGAAAATGGGTTTAACGTCGCGTCCAAGATTATTGCACTTATATAGCGACATGCATGCACGTTTGTGTGTGTTTGTGTGGCTGCTTGTACTAGTCCGGACTAATGCCGATTTATAGTGCTAGCTCACTGAGATACCATGCCGCAGTTTAACATGAATATCCCACTCAGACACATTATAGTGACTCCGAGCCGACCAGTCCTTGTTTTAGCCCCTTTATGCCGAGCGCCAGACAGGGTAACAACAGATACCTTTTTTAACGTCTTTTGATATGACGCGGCCGGGGATCGAACCCCGGACCTTCCGCACTAGACCACTACCACTAGACCGCAGAGGCGGTCTCCACTTGAGATGAATTACACGAAGGCGTCAATAGTATAGGGATTCTGTCCACATCATGTTATGTAACAAAGCTCGAACTGCAAAGTTAGGAATACTTACATAAACGTTCTGAAAAACAAGTGCCACAGCTGATTGGTAGCGACTTTACACCTACACAAACAAAGTCAGTCAGCATACAAGGAGGGCTTGTATGATGAATGCTGACTCTGAAACGTCGCTTCAGTGTGATCGTATTGTAGGTGTATTCATTAGACACTATGGCATGAAAGGTGTAAGAATATTGAATAGACAGACAGTTCTACTCTGTATTATGACTACATAATCACGTTTTAATGGGACTGTATTTGGATAGAAGATACTTTCCTTTAGGTCTACCATTGTGCCATGTTATTCTGAAGCGAGAATAATAGTGTGTCGACATGAAAGATAAAAGATTTTGTAATGGGACTGTATTTGGATAGAAGATACTTTCCTTTAGGTCTACCATTGTGCCATGCAATTCTGAAACGAGAATAATAGTGTGTCGACATGAAAGATAAAATATTTTGTAATGGGACTGTATTTGGATAGAAGATACTTTCCTTTAGGTCTACCATTGTGCCATGTAATTCTGAAACGAGAATAATAGTGTGTCGACATGAAAGATAAAAAAAAAATTCTTCAAAGTCAAGATTCAACCTGACCCTTTTATATATTCGATTTCCCCCATTCGAATACAGAATAATGTCCACATAAAGTTTCGTAATAAGGGCAGCATGCCGAAAGTCAGACCGTTTTACGTACGTTGTAGCATTTATAGTTTGGTCCGAAATTGAATACAGCCTTTTCTATTATTTATAACTTCCCACTTTGAGTGGGGCATATTGAGTTGATCAGTTCATCGTGTTATCTTATGGCACTGTGTCCGTCGTCTGTCTTACGCTCCGCAGTTGTTTTCACGTGTCTTTTAACCAATAAACAAAGTAAATGGTGCTGACTATTTCATTTACTGTTTCAAAAAAGGTGTCTCTAAACTGTGGTATCTGAAATTCTTGTACTCCATGGTAAACACAATTAAATCGCATTTTTGACTCATTTCTTACAATATTTACATATCACATTTGGAATTTGTACGTATTTATGTAGTGTAGCTAGTGCATATTTAACACCCCTTTGAAACAAGTGCCACCGTGGAGAATCCTGGGCAGAATGGGCACCCAATATTTCAAGGTTGTTGGAAAAGCTGCTGATGGCGATATTTCTATATTTTATTGCATTTAATCCTTAAGTCAATGCTGTAGTTTATGCCATTACAACTTCTAAATGCTGCACAATAATACCATTACAGTAAATACAACATCCCAGTGTCACAATAACTGCTCTGTCTGGGCCTGTCCAGATACTGGCAATACAGCGTGGAGTTTATGCGCGCTCGAAAAACAGCAACTATACATGATGAGAATCATAGTGACGGAAACCTAGGGTGTGTTGTTATTAGACAGCTGACAATGGCTGGTGTTTTTAGGTCTTTGGAAACTAGTTGGTTCAGGTCTTGTTAGATAAAGTATTAAATGAACGTATGGTGTTCTAATGCCCCATGGTGTTTGGCTTGGTCGGTCCTCTGACTAGCCTCATGAGCTTTCCCTTGACCTCTTGCTGCTTTCCTTGGTATGCCTGTCGACCCTTCCCTTGAATCGTCCTTTTGCTTGTCACTTCCACTGATGTGTCTGTTAAAACTCCCCTTGTTGTCTCCCTTGATTCTTCCAGTGACATGCCTGGTGATACTGTTGTGCCAAGTAGTACGCCCCTTGTTGTCTCCATTGATTCTTCCACTGACATGCCTGGTGATATTGTTGTGCCAAGTAGTACGTCCCTTGTTGTCTCCATTGATTCTTCCACTGACATGCCTGGTGATATTGTTGTGCCAAGTAGTACGTCCCTTGTTGTCTCCCTTGATTCTTCCACTGACATGCCTGGTGATATTGTTGTGCCAAGTAGTACGTCCCTTGTTGTCTCCCTTGATTCTTCCACTGACATGCCTGGTGATATTGTTGTGCCAAGTAGTACGTCCCTTGTTGTCTCCATTGATTCTTCCACTGACATGCCTGGTGATATTGTTGTGCCAAGTAGTACGCCCCTTGTTGTCTCCATTGATTCTTCCACTGACATGCCTGGTGATATTGTTGTGCCAAGTAGTACGTCCCTTGTTGTGTCCCTTGATTCTTCCACTGACATGCCTGGTGATACTGTTGTGCCTATCAGTACGCCCCTTGTTGTGTCCCTTGATTCTTCTACTGACACTCCTGGTGATACTGTTGTGCCTATCAGTACGCCCCTTGTTGTGTCCCTTGATTCTTCTACTGACACTCCTGGTGATACTGTTGTGCCTATCAGTACACCCCTTGTTTTGTCCCTTGGTTCTTCTACTGACATGCCTGGTGATGCTGTTGTGCCTATCAGTACGCTCCTTGTTGTGTCCCTTGGTTCTTCTACTGACATGCCTGGTGATGCTGTTGTGCCTATCAGTACGCTCCTTGTTGTGTCCCTTGATTCTTCTACTGACACTCCTGGTGATACTGTTGTGCCTATCAGTACACCCCTTGTTTTGTCCCTTGGTTCTTCTACTGACATGCCTGGTGATGCTGTTGTGCCTATCAGTACGCTCCTTGTTGTGTCCCTTGATTCTTCTACTGACACTCCTGGTGATACTGTTGTGCCTATCAGTACGCTCCTTGTTGTGTCCCTTGATTCTTCTACTGACACTCCTGGTGATACTGTTGTGCCTATCAGTACACCCCTTGTTTTGTCCCTTGGTTCTTCTACTGACATGCCTGGTGATGCTGTTGTGCCTATCAGTACGCTCCTTGTTGTGTCCCTTGATTCTTCTACTGACACTCCTGGTGATACTGTTGTGCCTATCAGTACGCTCCTTGTTGTGTCCCTTGGTTCTTCTACTGACATGCCTGGTGATTCTGTTGTGCCTATCAGTACGCTCCTTGTTGTGTCCCTTGATTCTTCCACTGACATGCCTGGTGATTCTGTTGTGCGTAGCAATACGCCCTTTTTTTGTTTCATGATTCTGCAGCTAGTGTGCCCCCTTGTTGTGTGCCCCCAAATAGACACGTGTCTCTGCTCTGTGGCTCTCTGACTTGTCTTGATGCTTTCGTTGATGTGTCTTTTGGTCCTTCCCTGGATGCGTCTCCTGGTCCGTCATTGGGCGTGTCGCTTGTGTGTGCCACCTATTGGTGTCACTATCCACAGGACTGACAAATGTCTGCTATGGCACTCACTGTGGGGTATTAGACTGAATATGGTTCAGTTCACGGAAAAGTTCCGATTTATTATCCAATTATCACGACACCTTTTATATAAACATGACGCCATTGATTATCAAACTTTGAATTTCAGAAGAAATGCAGAACCATCTCAATTTTTGTTCAACACGTCTTGGCAGAATATGACTGGTGATTCAGAGGATTCAAATCACAATAACATGTCTCTGATTAAAACATGGCGATGCAGTAGCCGAGTTTATAAAGCCTTCGTTCGTCACGCAGAAGACCAGAGTTCGATTCAACACAAAGGCTATACTATGTGACAAGTGAGTGAGTTGGTTTTACCGCCGCTTGGAACAGTAGTTCAGTTATATCAAGTGGGGTGATCACGAACTCCACTTGCACAAAGCGATCTTAGCACTAAGACTATTGTAAGCCTTTGTTAAAGTATGGGCGTTACGATCGTCTAAGATCGCTTTGTGCAAGTGGGCCTGCAGTGCTCTCCCCTGCGTTTACGGATTAGTACAGTAGATTTTACGACCACTTCGCCGGCCGTGTAGCATTGTCTAAATACATTTATACTGTCGAGCCAAAAAACTACACACAATGTTTGATGGTGGCTTTAAAGGGGAAAAAAACACAGACAAAAATGCTTATTCGATGGTGTTTGATACGGGTATCATAGTTGTGTTTTGGACCCTAAGTTCACGTTTGTATGTTTTGCTCAAATCCAATTTTCAAGTGTATGTTTTCTTTTGCCCGTCAGTTAATGTGGTCACGTGACGTCAAACTAACAAACACAGATGCCAAACATTTATTATGTCATACAATCAATTTCAGGTTGCACTTTTATCATGTGTGATAATAAATACAAAAGATTGGTTGTAGGAGTAACGGAAATTATCCAAGACTTTTGAGCGAGTGAGTAAGTTGGGTTCAACGCCGCTTTTAACAGTATTCCAGTTATATCACGGCGTGTCAGCTTAATGTGGGAGGAAAGCCCGAAGTGATGCAGGTCTCAGACGTTTACCACTTCGGTGAAACCCAAGAGCACGGGTATGGTGCTGACAAACCTAGAAACATAATCGGGGCGAACCGGGATTCGAACCCACAATCATAGGTTTCTGGCGTGCCCGAGGGACGCAACTCTGCACAGCGAATTGCGGCGCCTTAGACGACTGGGCCACCCGTTCCCCCCTTACAATACAAACCCTCTTTCATAGATTTCTTATTTTCTTACAAATATACTGGTGAAATACTGTATTTGTCTAAAAGTATACTCGAGTGAAATGACACTTAATGCCGGAAGTTCTTTCAGTCTGCCTCAATGATACAATGATAAGAAGACACTTATGGTCTAGTGGTAGAGCATCCGCCCAGAGAGCTAAAGGTTCGGGGCTCGATCTCTGCCGAGTCATACCAACAGACGTTAAAAGATGGTACTTGTTGTTACCCTGTCTGGCGCTCGGCATTAAGCGTCTAAAATGTCGGCTTGGAGTCAGTATACTGTGTCTGAGTGGGGTATTCATGTTAAACTGCGACATGGTACCTCAGTATGCTAGCACTATAAAATCGGGATTAGTCCGGACAAGTACATCAGCCACACACACACACACACGTACATGCACATCGCTATATAAGTGCAATAGTCTTGGACGCGACGTTAAACCCCCTTTCACCTCACCTCACCTTTTCATGAAAACAATCAACTTTATCGGGTCGCTCTGTGAAATAACATGTATCAAGAATGGCAAATACCTTCCACGCATGTGGTATGGGTTTTATAGGCTTCGGTAGGTGGTGATGTCCTTCTAGCTGAAGGATTTGTTCACATCACGTCACATCACCCACCACACAGTCGGAAACAGTCTGGGTAGCTCCAACGAAGGAACTATCCAGGTAGTATAACATGTGTAACAATGAGTACAAACGTTTGAGGAGACCAATGATGTGTTTAAACATTCATCTGTATGCTTGTGTGTTTAAATATCCATGGATAGGGTTGGGTAGCCTAGTGGATAAGGCGTTACTCGTCGAGCCCAAGATCCTGGTTTGATTCCCCACATGGATAAACTGAGTGCTTGTGAAGCCTATCTGGTGTCCCCTGCCGTGGTATTGCTAGAATATTGCTAAAGGCGGCGTAAAACCATACTCACTTAAATATGCATAAGGTATTTTGTGTCTATATACAGTAGCAATGAATCAACCCTAGCGTCCACGTCAACTCGCCACGAAACCATCTTAAACCCACATACATACAAGTGTCACATTAAAACATCGGGTGTTCTTTAACTTATTGTGATTAGTATATATTTCAGAGTTTTATAAAGTATAGTAACGTGAACATTCCAAGCGCGGATACAGCTTTTGGGACAGGTGGTAGTGATCATACAACGGGCTACAAACATGAAAATATAAAATGTCAACGGAAGAGAAGAACGTGGCTTAATTTACACGTGCCAACATATGCCTTAACCTACACGTGTGGTAACCTACACGTATCTTAACCTACACGTGCCTTAACCTACACGTGTGTTAACCTACACGTGCGTTCACCTACACGTGCCTTAAAATACACGTGTGTTAACCTACACGTGCCTTTACCAACACGTGCCTTAACCTACACGTGTGTTTACCTACACGTACCTTAACCTACACATGTCTAAACCTACACGTGTGTTAACCTACACGTGCCTTAACCTACACGTGTCTTAACCTACACGTGTCTTAACGTACACGTGTCTAAACCTACACGTGTCTTAACCTCCATGTACCTTAACCTACACGTACCTTAACCAACATATGTGTGTTAACCTACACGTGCCTTAACCAACACGTGCCTTAACCTACACGTGTCTTAACCTACACGTGTCTTAACCTACACGTGTATTAACCTTCACGTTTGTTAATCTACACGTGTGTTAACCTACACGTATCTTAACCTACACGTGCCTTAACCTACACGTGTCTTAACCTACACGTGTCTTAACCTACACGTGTATTAACCTTCACGTGTGTTAACCTACACGTGTGTCAACCTACACGTATCTTAACCTACACGTGCGCTAACCTACACGTGCCTTAACCTACACGTGTGTCTACCTGCACGTGTCTTAACCTACACGAACATGGACGGTGTTTGATAGCATGGAACGAATAAATGGCTACTTTGGTTGAAACCGCACTTCTCCGGTCAACATAGAAGTTATACAAGGAATCTGCCTCTTGCCATGCGTGTAGGGTGAAGGTGGAACGTTGGACAGACAACCAAAGGCCACTTTCTTGTTGACTTGAGTCAGTAACGCCATTAGTTCTAGCTTCATCCCGTGTTCTTCAAGAACCTCGCACAGTGCTTGTATGTAACAGGAACCCTTCCTCTGGTTGGTGGACGCTCGGGAACCTGTGATATTACATATGGGAGTGAGTGATTGATGCATCTATAGCTATCTATTTAAGAACAGAGTTATTGCTTTGGATGGCAAATTGTACATACGAAAATATACTATTCTGCCACTGTATCCACAAAGTGCATATTTCGAATATACCATAAGCAAACAAGTATAGCTCCAAGGTATAGCTTTTTAAAATGAACCTTTTAACAAGGGGCCGACTCCGTGGTCTAGTGGTAGAGCGTCGGCTCGGAGAGCGGAAGGTCCGGGGTTCGATCCCCGGCCGCATTACCAAAAGACCTTAAAAGATGGTACTTGTTGTTACCCTGCCTGACGCTCGGTATTAAGGGGCTAAAAAGAGCTTAATGGCCCGGAGTCAGTATACTGTGTCAGACAATACAGTGATGAACATCATAAGCATCGATCTACGCAATTGGGATACAGTGACATGTGTAAACCACTGATAACAATATTACTATATATGATAAAAAAGTAAAAACGTGTTTGAAAACAACAGAGAAAGGTTTAATACTGCTGACCTTGGATGGATGGGTGAATGGGGGACTTTAATATTTTGTTTGATATTTGACTACCGTGGGACATCCGGGACAGAGTCCGCACCCAGCATGCTTGCCGCAAGAGGTGACTAAATTGAATCGTGTGGTCAGGTGAGGGGACTTAGTTGATTGCGTTTCATCGTACCCCGACGGCACGAAACGTTGCTCACAACATCAACCACTGGTTTGATTGGTCTTTTGGTTATTTACAGCCGGTTTATAGCTGGAATATTGCTGAGTGCGGCGTTAAATAAGAAACAAAGCAAGGGGTTGACATATCTGACGTCTCTATTCACAACTCAATGTACATGAATACATTACACGTGTTTAGGGATAGCAACTTCTTTTATTCTATGTACGACATTTCAGAGCTACCTCTTGCTCCTTCATCAGGTGAATGAGCAGGCATGAGTTGCTATCAATAAAAAAGTGTCACGTATTCATGTTCTCCCAACTTCTAAATGCCTGTTAAACATAGCATTGCACAGTTCTACATCGGGGCCCCAAACCCAGTTCACGGCAGTCGTCTCTCTTACCCTTTGCGCTGGAGTAAGCAATCAGGAAGTCCGCCGTTATCGGCACTCTGTAGGTTATTGGCTCACCATCGTCCATCTCTTCATCACCGTCAACATCTCCCTTCACGTCCAGAGCATCCGCGAAATCTCCCCAGTCATCAAATTTCTTTCCACAAGTCTGGTAATAAAAACAGACCAATCTTAGATTTCTTTGTCTTTTCATACCAGATAGGCTAGGATGACAATTTGGCACTTCCACGCGCATGTAGAAGAAACAAGTTAAGGTATAATACTAATTTGTTTAATGGCTCCTAAAAAGGTAAACAGTCTTTATAGAATGATTGCTCAGGACGAGTTCGTAGTTTCCAAGGGATTTGGTTTTATTAACAGACAGACAGATTTATTCAGTAATCAGGCCTCCAGCCCATAATACATGTTAACATAATGTAGATACATGCTTATATACCATGGCGTTATGTTAAGACAAATAGTTTTAGAATACGTTAGAATAGTGATGAGTTACGTATATTCATAACTTTAGATAGAAATAGTCCAATGTGTTTTAAAGTTCTTGTGGAGTTTGTTGACATAAGGTTTAAAAACTGTTGAAATGTAGTAAAGTTGATTTCACTTTCAGCAAAGCATTCTCTTCTTGCAGGTCGGTTTTATTAAAATCGAATATAAAATTGATCTTGCAATACTTGTTAATGCTGTAACCTTTAATTTCAAAGGACGGAAGTATTTCTGGTCATTTTATTTTGGAATATAGTTTTGTTTTACGCCGCTTGTAGCAATATTCAAGCAATATCATGGTAGGGGACACCTGGAATGGCCCAAATATAGTAATGAATATTACTTCATGCCAGTTTCCTGTTAAATTCCTAAAATATTATTGAAATGATTCTCCATACCCACGTGGAACAGTCACATTAAACTAACAGCATTAAGTAAGGATAAGAAGTTATGGACGAACAGCTTCTTACAATTAAGAGCGTTACAATTTAGAACCTACACCGAAACGTCGCTCTTAATTGTAATAAAGAAGTTGTTCATCCATAAATTCTTATCCTTACTTAGTACTCCAACTTCCAAATGCCTATCAAAGAAGTTAACAGTATTAAGCCGAATACTGAAGACGTCATATTTCCAAATGACCACAAGTATAAGCGATGGCATGATTTCTTTGAGATAATTCGTTTGCACTTGGATTGTATTTGACAGAGGAGGTACCTGTATGAAGAAGAGCTTGGGTTTCCCGTCTAGAGTTCCACAGCGATCTCCTCTGAATGGAGCCAAGAGTTTTGTGACCTCCACTGGACCATCAGTACCATGGACCTTGTCCTCCTCCCCGTGTGACAGAATCACGCAGACAAAACAGTCGTTATTCGTATGATCCATCGTGGACACTGGAATTAATGATATTTTAACATTTGAGTCGTGATTTCGACTACTACTACTACTACTACTACTACTACTACTTCTACTACGACTACTACCACCACCACTACTACTACTACTACTACAACTACCACTACTACCACTACCACTACTACTACTACCACTACTACTACTACTACTACTACTACTACTACTACCACCAGTTATACTACCACTACTACTCCTCTTCCTCCTCCTCCTCCTCCTCCTACTACTACTACCACCACTACTACTACCACTAGTAATACTACCACTACTACTCCTACTACTGCTGCTGCTACTACTACTACTACCATTACTACTACTACTACTACTACTACTACTACTACTACTACTACTACTACTACCACTACTACTACTACTACTAATACTACTACCACTAGTAATACTACCACTACTTCTCCTACTGCTGCTGCTACTACTACTACTACTACTACCACTACTACTACTACTACTACTACTACCACTACTACTACCACTAGTAATACTACCACTACCACTACTACTACAACTACTACTACGACTACAACCACTACTACTACTACTACTACCACTACTACACCTGCTGCTGCTGCTACTACTACTACTACTACTACCACTACTACTACTACTACGACTACAACTACCACTACTACTGCTGCTGCTACTACTACCACTACTACGTACAGCCACTGTTTCTTTAGTTTTTACAAAATAGACTACAACCACGGTTACAACATACAACAAAACTGATTTCTGTTTCAGACGAAATACTTACATCAGTAGTAGTACTATCGTATTATTATTATTATTGTTGTAGTAATTTATTACGAGTAAAGCAATCACCATGTGTAGCACAACCACCAATTCTATCATCACCAGCAGTGTTACTACTGTGCCCCCGTGACGATCCGGGGTAGAATTGGTCAGGCCCACTCACATGCTCACTAACTTGCATGTCATGAGTTATCTGGTCCAGACTCGAAAATGTACAGATCGCCGTCATATAGCTTGAATAGTGCTGAGTGCGGCGTTACAAACAACAAACAAATGTTACTACTGTGGAAGAATACCCTGGCAATGACCTTGACCTACAACTGGGAGTGTACCTTTCTCTACTCCGTCCACCATTTCTTTGACCGTCAGATTACGGACAGGTGTGACGTCAAACGACAGCGTCCCGAATGCCTTTATTAGTCTCTCCTCGTCCACGTCATTTCCGGGTTGATGAGGAAGGTGGTCAAAGTCAGAGTTGGTGATGATGTAGGCGAGGCCTCTCTTCTTGTGAGACATATTGTAGTGAGGATCTGGCGCACTCATGTCGACGGCAGCGTTAAATACGTCTGAAGGGTTACAAATTAAACGACGTCTTACAAATAGTACACCCATTAATATAAATGCATTATATATTGGCCATTGGTGCGTGTGTGTGTGTGTGTGTGTATGTGTGTGTGTGTGTGTGAGAGAGAGAGAGAGAGAGAGAGAGAGAGAGAGAGAGAGAGGTGGTGGTGGAGGGAGAGATTGTAGTTTGCTGCTGTTTAGTAGTTTCGAGGCAGACCTTTGACTATGGAATTTAGGAATACCGAATTATTAGAATACCGAATTCGACATAACAGGCGCCCAGGGCCATCTCAAAATAAGAAATAGGAGGCTCTTATTAGAATATTATTTTGGTGAAAAACAACAGGGTTGAAAGATCGTAATTTTCGTGGTTTATGCTGACAGCCTGAAATGTTTATAGACGACAGATATATTTTTCCAGAATCTAATTTCCCATAATTAAGTCTTGTGTACATTGATCAATCGGAAGGGGTGCTAACTGGAATTGTTCACTAGCCAATATATTTGCAAATATCGCCGTGGGCGCTTATTAGAGCGGGGCGCTCTTTACGTCGAATGCGGTAGTTTCTTATTACGGAACACCACCCCGATGCAATGTTACGTTTCGTCACACTCACTGACCTAAAGAGAAAAACCAACGTATGCCACAATAAACACAATACATCTGAATGGGTTAAGGTATGGGTGCTCCCTGTTTAACATCTAGTCTACTATACAGAAGTACGGCGAACTGCTCGAGTGAGCATAGCGCAGTTGTAGCGCAAAGATCAATACACATTGTCGGAGTGGGGTGAATGTGTGAGCGAGTATTGTTTCACACATGTCGTAAGCACCATTCCTGCAAGTTGATCCCGACAGGCGACACTTGAAATAGGTTTCACAAACCCTACAAATGTGGGGAGTCGAAGGCGGACCTACAGCGTGACGAGCGAACGCTTGAACCACTAGGCTAAAGTTCTTTTCTCTTATGTGTGAAGGCTAGGACCCAATAACCACGTATCCCTATAAAAGGCCCGTATGTATGGAATAGCTCAAAGTAGTTTCTGCAGAATGCGTGTAAACACAGCATGTAAACACAGCACGTGACTCTACACCGCCGTATACACTACTAATCCTATAGGTCGTTGTCATCCCAAGTGGTGTTGAAATCAGGATCATTATATGTTGTGACACACCTACATAGACTAACGCTTAGTCTCTAATATATGATTTTCATAGAAACAAACAAGCACATTTAACTGAAAATGAGTGAGTGAGTATGGTTTTACGTCGCTTTTAGCAATATTCCAGCAATATCAGGGCGGGGGACACCAGAAATGGGCTTCACACATTGTACCCATGTCGGGAATCGAACCGGGTCTTCGGCGTGACGAGCGAACGCTTTAACCACTAGGCTACCCGACCGCTCCTTTAAGTGAAAAGGAGCCCCAGTGAGATGGAACCTGTGGTAAATCTAGACTTGCTTAATGTAGAGTTATATCATTACAGTAAGGGATGGCGGAAGGGAAAATAATATGGTTCAGGGACTGTAAGACAGGCTAATGCCTCTAGTACAACAGCGCTTTGCGTACAACCCCGTGTGTGTACGCATATAGCTCGTCTGTCATCAGTCGATAAGAGTTTTCTAGTTTGAAGTGCGAATGAAAATCACTTACGTTATGAGACGATCTGCTAATCCTCGGAACGGTATTTTGGGGCGTGTCGATTTTTAAGGTTGGGGATATTCACTTCAGGGACAATGTTCCTCCCGAAAGGCTACAAGTAACTGCAGGACTTCTTTATGCCAGGTACAATACATACCAACATGGCGCGTGGGCTGTATATAATGCATCAATTCCTATAGCTTACCGTATGCACCAGATGACGTGGCATTCAGTCAAACAAAGTCGTGAATGTGAATAGACCTGGGTGTCGTTGTACAAAACAACCTTAACGCTTTGATTGTCGTAAGTCTGTGCTAAGGCATGGGAGTTACGATCATCTTAGCGCTAAGATCGCTTTGTACCCCGCACCCTGGCTTGTCGTCGTGCTGATGACGTCAGTGAGTGAGTGAGTTGGGTTTAACGCCGCTTTGAACAGTATTCCAGTTATATCGGGGCGTGTCAGCTTAATGTGGGAGGAAAGCCCGAAGTGATGCAGGTCTCAGACGTTTACCACTTTGGCGAAACCCACGAGCACGGGTATAATGCTGACAGACCTAGAAACATAACCGGGGCGAACCGGGATTCGAACCCACCATCATAGGTTTCTGGCGTGCCCAAGGGACGCAACTCTGCACAGCGAATTGCGTCACCTTAGACGACTGGGTCACCCGTGCCCCCTGATGACGTCAGTGTATGAACTGCATGTATGTGATCCTTCACCTTGACTCCATCTAACTCTAGCTATTCTGTAACAGCTCTAGCATTGATCAGCTTCATATATGCCTATTCTAACGTTTTGTTTGTCTGTTGTTTAACGCTGCACTCAGCAATATTCCAGCTATATGACGGCGGTCTGTAAATAATCGAGTCTGGACGAGACAATCCAGTGATTGAAATCATCAGCATCGATCCACGCAATTGGGATACGATAACATGCATCAACCAAGTCAGCGAGCCTGACCACCCGATTCCGTTAGTCCCCTACGACAAGCATGGGTTGCTGAAGATCAGCTCTACCCCGGCCCTACCCGGGTGCTTTTGTAAAGTGTTAGCATTAATGACTTGACGTTACCACACATCAGTTCACGTCTTATAAATTACATTTTATGTATCATGTCAGGCTAGCCAGTGGTCTTGTGAAAGGGACATACAGCGGTAGTATTTTGTATGACAATTAATATTATATAATATATTAGTATTATAGAAACAGAAACTTGCCTTAAGTAAACGTGCCCGGTGTCGAGGAACGAGTCCGGCGTCCATTGACAATAAAATAGCAGGCTAAACAATAAAAAAAATTGAAATCCATAAGTTTCAATGACAATCTCGTGCACATATTTCTTAAATGTGAGGTGGGAGGTAGGTCTTTTTAAAATAATTTTTTTAATGCACAAGTGAGAAGTGGCTGAGTTTGGTTTTACGCCGCTCTTAGCAATATGTCAGCAATATCAGGACGGGGACGCCCGATAAGGGACATACGTGACGAGGGAGGAACAGGTTTATGTCCTTTTTACCATGAAGAATCCCAACAAACACGACCGGGCACATACAGAACTCCAAGGTCAGTTGTCAAGGGTAACACAGTCTGCTTCACTAGACGGGGAAATTAGATAAATACATTTCCATCAAGATTTCAAATGACGCTCCGATTTCCGAGAAACATTTCCTTTACTTTTTAGTAAACGTCACCCACGTCATCGTCGATACAACAGCTCAGAGCCACTATAGCTATAGCAGCCATTTTGGGGTACAAGCATAACTAAAAAATAATTCGTAACTTTTAAGGTAAATAAGACATACATTTAATATAAATACTAGTAATAAATCAGTCACGTAGATGAACGGATGGGGTATACTGATGATATTGAAGGCACTTTGACCCAAAATTCCAAGTTTAAAGTACAGAAAATACTGTGAAAATGATGAAACGGCTGACAACTTGTTTTTATTTTTATGACGTGAATGTTTTGGACTTGACATGATCAAGTACATAGGTATGGCTGAAGTGAGTGAAACATATTTTTTAAATCTCTTGAGAAATCTAGTGACCCAAATGCGTGACCCAAGTGGAATGGTTCCACTATATGCTTGTGGTCACCACATGCGTGTTTTCACAATATGTTTGTTTTCACTTTATTTACCAACAGTTTGGTGTTTAGAAAATCACATTTGATACTTTAATACAGTGCATTTAAGGGTTATTATTGGCACAAAAAATTGCAAAGAAAACAACAACAATTAGCTTTCAAATCAAAACTCCTGGTAACATTCAGAATGGTTACTATAATGTGTTCCTAATCTCTGTGATTTTGAGTCTTGGGCTTAATACGTGGGTTAAGAATCAAACATGCCAGACAATGTGGTCGTCTTTAAACGAACAGTTATGTAAGTAACATGCCGTAAAACTATAAATATATGTAACCTGTCAATGAATTGCCTATAAACAAACGGAAACAACCCGTATGGACGCACATTACATCATACGATTAACACATCTGTATTTCTATAGCTGGAGCGGTCGGCTAGGCTAATGCTACAACGCTTGTATGGTCAGTGACGGGTCATTCAGCGGTCAGAAGAAATCGATTTCACGGAGATACTTATATCACGTGTGTCACCTGGATGTGTCAACCCTGAACATCCGGGGTAGAATAGATCCATCTGAGTCACCTCTTGCGGCCATTCGTGACCAACTCGTGTTATTCCGGGACAAGCCGAATCTTCTTGCAGGTTACGGAAAGAGGCGAGTGGTGACGAATGCTCTTGCGGCAAGCATAGGTTACTGAGGGCGAACTCTATCCTGGATGTCCCACGGTGGTAAAAAAATGACTACAAATATTACAAAGTCCCCTATTCACCAATCCATCCGAGGTCAACAGTATTAAACTGTTTTTTGTTAGTTTTCAAAGACGTTTTTAAGTTATGTGGTAATATCATATATAGATAGTATCAGTGTTATCAGAAGTGTTACACACCCGTGAAGATCCGGGTCAGAAGAGGTCCCATGCTTGCCGTAAAAGGCGACTATGCTTGTCGTAAGAGGCTACTAACGAGATCGGGTGGTTGATGCATGTCATCGTATCCCAATTGCGTGGATAGATGCTTATAATGTCAATCACTGGATTGTCTGGTCGAGATTCGTTTATTTACAGACCGCCGTCATAAAGCTGGAATAATGCTGAGTGTGGCGTTAAACAAACAAACAAACAAACAAACAAACAAACCTGCATGTGGGGACCCACCCTGCATGTCTCCTTCATCCCTGGTGTGGTGTTAGAGAGGGAGGCAGGTGGTGTGAATGTGGGGGTTAATAGTGATGATGGGGGAGTCTGGCTTAACGCCGCTGTGAACAGCATTCTAAAATATAGGCATATCAGCTTGATGTGGAGGGATCACAAACTGTTGGTCTTAGACGTATACAACATCCGTGAACATCTCTAGCACGGTACGATGCTGATGGATCACCGCTTGAATCCATGACCATATATTATTTTGGACTCGAACAACATTTACCAGATCCTGGCTCGGCATGGAGTGAGTGAGTGAGTGATTGAATGAGTGAGTGAGTGAGTGAGTGAGTGAGTGAGTGGGTGGGTGATACCTCGGCGCGTCTGTTTAAAGGAGGACAAAGCTCAGGCCAAAATGCAATCCTAGACAGTAACATTGTATGCCTGCTAACATTAATGTGATGACGTATTGAAGTCCAACAGCATACGTTTACCCCAATTAGTGAGTGAGTATGGTTTTACCCCGCTTTTAGCAATATTCCAGCAATATCACGATTCGGGACACCCGAAATGTGCTTCACACAGTGTACCCATGTGGGTAATCGAACCCGGGTCTTCGGCGTGACGAGCGAACGCTTTAACCACAAGGCTACCCGATCGTCCCTTACCCTAATTAAGACAAGGGAATTCCAGACAGTGCACTGATTATAACGTCTTCACATCAACCTGAAACTGGCAAGAGACAATTGAACAGGGTGCTTAATGTGTGGGAGAACCAAATACACGTCGTGGACATTAACTTCGATGCTGACGATGGTAATTAATGATGCAGATGGTGGTGAGTGAGTGTCGGTACCGTGATGTTTCACGTCGACGTCATTGGTGACGGTAATTGTGATTTAGATATACGCCAAATTAGCAGTATTGCAACATGGCGGAAAGATGATAAGAAACAGTGTAGGTAAGCTAAATGCCTACATTAGACAACTAAGCACGTTATTAGAACGATAGGGTATTGCATTCCGTATGCATTTGTACGAGACAGTAAGCTCCAATGAAAGAGCAATTGCGATGTTCTGATTGTCGGCGTCACAAGACATTCAATACTTGACACTGGGGGCATACAGCACACTGGAGAAGCAAGATTCAACACAGGATCACAGGGGCACAGCGTCTCATCGATCTTGTCCGTCTTGTATAATCCGTGCTTGATAGGATGGCAAATTGGTTATTACAAACATTCCGAGTCCGATTCATATGGAGTTTCTGTCAAGTCAACCAACCCACATAACATCTAAGAGTTGTTAAACCCCATCCTCTGTGTATCTAAAAAGAGAGAAAATTGAGAGTTCAAAAACAGTAAAAGTGAGCGAAAGAGTTTTGTTTTGTGTCGTGGAGGGGATGGGGTTTAGCCTAGTGGTTTAAGCGTTCGCTCGTCGCGCTGAAGACGTGGGTTCGATTCCCCACATGAGCACGATGTGTGAAGTGATTACACTTATGACGATAGACTGGGGGCAAGTCAGTTCCAGTATCCCCAGCTAACTATGCTTGTCGTGAGAGACGACTCGATGGAACCAGTGTACATGTTCAGGCTTGGTGAGGGCCGGTCGGGTAGCCTTCTGGTTAAAGCGTTAGCTCGTTACGCGGAAGATCTGGGTTCGATTCCCGACATGGGTACAATGTGTGAAGCCCATTTCTGGTGTCCCCCGCCGTGATACTGCTGAATAGTGCTAAAAGCGTCGTAATACCATACTCACTTACTCAGATTCATGGCATTATTATTGTCACTCAAATCAATATTGTCAGGCAGTGTGTTTATTACTCTCTGTGGTATTACCATGTTAATAATATCCGGTGTAGGGATTTCATTTCTATGTCTATAAGCATAAGAGTATTTCAGCATCCGCAGACCTATGAACATA